ATGGCCGCCACCATGAATTGAGAAGTGATTATATGGCTGAGAAAATAGCAAGGAAAACCGGTCAGTGCAAGCAACGTTCAGCGAAGAGTTTTGAAATTCCCGCTCTCTGGGAATTTCTAACCTAATAGGCCCGCGGGCGAGTTACGTGTTGACAAGCCTTACCCACCCACTGCCGCAGCCCTACAGGAGAGCCTTAATCGACTTCCTAGATGTGTATGATATACTGAAAAAGAAAAAAAAATTAACTCATACACTCTGGGCAGCTCACTTTCGTGCCTACACTGGTATACACACCTGTGAAAAAAGGCTCAAATTAACGGAACTCTTCTCTGCATGCTAGTCGGAAGGGGAAAAAAATGTCTTCAAAAATGCATCAGCTCACAGAGCCTCCCGTCCTCGTAATTGTTTGCATCCCAAGAAATGTAAAGAAATGAGGAACGGCCCTGATGGTGCTGATAGCGAGTCCCACTCCTTGATAAACTCTGATTCACGGCAGCAACTCTCTTGGAATAATATTTATCCTACAACAAATTAATATCGACGATTTATTTCCTGACCGGTTTTCCTTGGCCTTGCTATTTTCTCAGCCATAAAATCACTTCTCAAAGAATTAAATTCTGTGCTTAATAAGAATTCCTGGTGGCGGCCATTCTCCTTCCCATTTTATTTTTTGATGTAGTAGCGGTATGTATGATTACGCCCCTTCCCAATAAACCCGTGGCACTTTTGCCTTCGCCGTGGCGCTTTTGCTTTCGCCGTGGTGCTTTTGCGCTTGCCGTGGCGCTTTTGCGCTTGCCGTGGCGCTTTTGCGCTTGCCGCGGCGCTTTTTGTTTTGCCGTGGCGCTTTTTCTTTTGCCGTGGCGCTTTTTGTTTTGCCGTGGCGCTTTTTCTTTTGCCGCGGCGCTTTTTGTTTTGCCGCGGCGCTTTTTCTTTTGCCGCGGCGCTTTTGCGCTTGCCGTGGCGCTGTTGCGCTTGCCGCGGCGCTGTTGCGCTTGCCGTGGCGCTTTTGCTTTTGCCGTGACAGTTGTGGGCCACCGTACCTGATCGATTGAGAGCGCCAACGTAACAAAGATTATTCATTCATAAATACCTCAGACAGTTTAGCCATTCCTATTGGTCGAGAGCCCGTCACGTGGCCGGTATTAAACGGATGATAAAGACATGGCTAGCTGGTCTTAAACACTTTTCCAGTGTCACAATAAAATGTGGACTCCTAAAAACCCAGTGCCTCTTATCGTTTCATTGGTAGAACGTTCACAGTCCTCACGTAGGCATGCGCAACACTACCAGGGAGTTAGAATTTTATAGTTCTAAATTCAAAACGCAACGCGCCAGGTGCGTTCTGCGCGACATCGCAAAGAACATGATACGCGCGCGTCAATCTCCATAAAAGGGTTGTTTTCATCTTACTCGCCAGCTGAACACTCCATTATTTTGCAGGAGGGATGATTCAAAAAGCATAAAGTGAATTTGTTGAACAAAATCGGGATTTTTTGAACGAATTATATGATTTTTTTTTACCGAAAAGGTATTTATGAATGGGAATAAATATGTACTCCGTCGGTATTTATCACTCTGTTTAATACCACTTAGAGTCTGGGTGCTGATAATTACCCTCGCCTCCGGCTCGGGTAATTATCAGCACCCAGACTCTAAGTGGTATTAAACAGAGTGATAAAAACCTCCGGAGCACACATTTATTCCCTTATTAAAACATCTTTGCATGGAAGTGCGCTAGCTCAAGCTGCAGAGAAACGAACGCATATCTACCGCGCTTGTCTCTCCAGTCCAATTTGTGCCAAGCCAAGACCACCGGTACCGACGACCGGACGATCGTTGTGCATGCAGCGCGTGGCGTGGTCACCGGTCACGGATAGTTACCGCGCCGCTAAATCTCTTCGGTACAACTATAGAATGCAGGGCCACTTTACTCTACATCCGCGCCTCCGTACGGCTGCGTGGAGGCGTGGAGGCGTGGAACCGCAGTCGACCTACCTCTGAAAATCGATCGTGGAGTCGTGGAGCCGCAGAGAATTGCGCCCTCTATCGGTGTGCGTCTCTGCGACTCCGCGACTCCGCGCCTCCACCACTGAGAGACAGTGCCCCGTCGCCCTCCCCCCCCCCTTCCTAATTGGCCCGCCCAATTAAAGCGACTCTGCGACTCCGCGACTCCGCGCCTCCGCGACTCCAGACAGTGCCCCGTCGCCCTCCCCCCTTCCTAATTGGCCCGCCCAATTAAAGTGACTCTGCGACTCCCCGACTCCGCGCCTCCGCGACTCCAGACAGTGCCCCGTCGCCCTCCCCCCTTCCTAATTGGCCCGCCCAATTAAAGTGACTCTGCGACTCCCCGACTCCGCGCCTCCGCGACTCCAGACAGTGCCCCGTCGCCCTCCCCCCCCTTCCTAATTGGCCCGCCCAATTAAAGTGACTCTGCGACTCCCCGACTCCGCGCCTCCGCGACTCCAGACAGTGCCCCGTCACCCTCCCCCCCCCCTTCCTAATTGGCCCGCCCAATTAAAGTGACTCTGCGACTCCCCGACTCCGCGCCTCCGCGACTCCAGACAGTGCCCCGTCGCCCTCTCCCCCCCCTTCCTAATTGGCCCGCCCAATTAAAGTGACTCTGCGACTCCCCGACTCCGCGCCTCCGCGACTCCAGACAGTGCCCCGTCGCCCTCCCCCCCCCTTCCTAATTGGCCCGCCCAATTAAAGTGACTCTGCGACTCCCCGACTCCGCGCCTCCGCGACTCCAGACAGTGCCCCGTCGCCCTCCCCCCCCCTTCCTAATTGGCCCGCCCAATTAAAGTGACTCTGCGACTCCCCGACTCCGCGCCTCCGCGACTCCAGACAGTGCCCTGTCGCCCTCCTCCCTTCCTAATTGGCCCGCCCATTTAAAATGGATATGGATGCTTCGTTCTCAAAAAGATTCCGCCGAGAATTGCGCCCTCTATCGGTGCGCGTCTCTGCGACTCCGCGACTCCGCGCCTCCGCCACTGCGGCCACTCCAGTGCCCCGCGTCTCCGCGATTCTGCGACTCCAAGACTCCGCGCCTCCGCCGCTCCAGACAGTGCCCCCAACACATTTACAAGCACGTCCTCCCTTCCGATCCTTCATGAGAAGCTTTGAAGACAAGTGCAGTGCATTCCTTCGCTGTACTTAGCACTTGTTTGCAGGTTTGCATATCTATTACTCCTATTCCATCCACGCCTCCAGGCAAAATAAAAAACCTTGCTTCGGCGTGGCCCTGCATTCTATAGTTGCTCCATCTCTTCCATCATGTCTTCCCCCAAACGGATCTCAAAAATGCTCTCCCAGCGGAGGACATGGAGGATACTAACACTAAGTAACAGTAATTAGTAAGTCTTTTTGTAAATTTCCCCGTAGCTTCAGTGCCTAGTCAGCTAATTATTGCCCTGAAACTACAGCGGTTTCAAAGTGTTAAACCCAAGTAGAGTCGAAATTAAATGTCGTGTGCACTGATTAGAGAATTACTTGATAAATAACTAATGTGTTACTAGTCGCAACTAGTCCACTAGTCGTGACTATTTATCGCAACTAGTCGCGACTATTGAAATTCGCTAGTCGCCCAGGCCTACCTTAGTACCTAGCATGCGTATCTAGCTAAATGGCGTCAGGTAAACTTGACCGTTTGCCAACTCGACTGTCTAACCAACTCGACCGTTTGCGTTCAACTGTAAAAGTCAACATGACTGTTTACCAACCATGCCAACTCGTCAGTTGTCCATTCAAGACTCAAGTTTCAACTGGAAAAGTCAACTCGACCGGTGCAGGGTTGGATCCAGGAATTTTTGCAGGGGGGGGGGGGGAGCTTTCATCGACCCAAAACAATCTGAAATGTAGACACTTTTATTTATTTTTTTACTATGTCCGCATAATTATTCTGTCACTTATATGCTTTAGAAAATGTTCCTTACTCATGACTTTTGTGTCTCATAATTAACTCATTGGGCACAGGCCAACCGCTGTCTCAAATTGTTCTGATATAAATCTTCTTTCCTTTTTTTCTGAACAGGTTTTCTCCCAAGGCCAGAAAAAAAACATAGTTCTGCTTTCGGTTTCTCTACCTACATGACCTACCTTATTCCGACATTTTTTTTGTGGGAAAAATTAGGAAAATGCACTCAAAACCATAAATTTCTACATTTTACTATTGACCACACACAGACACCTCCATTTGATCGTTCACAAGAAAATTGGCCCCCAAAAAAATTCCCTACCTACCCTATTTTTGAATGTAATGTAATCGGAAGCAGAACAATTTTCGTTTGGCCTAGAAAGGGTATGGTATGAACTTTCAACTTATATCGGCCCTCATCTTGAGTGCTGAACATCATGATGCGTCATCACGTGTCAAATTACAAGCTTTTTTTTTGGTTGAAAAAATGTCAATCTTCTTTCATCTATAACTTTTCTCTTAAACAAAATGAGTTTAACCTTTTCAAATTTTAAAACCCTCAATCAAAATTTTACCAAATTGCTTCTATGTGTTCCGTGAGCAACCACAAATAAATTGGCAAGGTTTCATAATCATGACGTCATCCGACTTCTCTGAATTCAAATGACACCTGATTTTGTTATTTTGGAAAGTTTTTCAAGGTGGAAAATGCGATTTTGTTGTGCAGATTACGTTTTGGCTGGGTTAAAACTACCCCAACCCCTATCCAGCCAACAGGCGCATTGACGTGTGAAAAGGGGTATTGCGCAATCTCGTGTTTCTTGACCAGTTAACCCCATATCCCCCCCCCCCAAAAAAGCTTGCAATCTATCTACGAAATGGCTGTTTGTTCAGAATGGGGTATATAACAAACAACTTACATGTAGATTGTGTTAAGCCATGGGGAAAAGTGTCCCAAACTTCACAATCGCAATAAACGAACAAAAAACAAAGGCTGTTTCAGGTGGTTGCCAAACAGTGGACAAGATTCTACTACCGACACCATCCTTATCTTTCTCCTTTCTCCTTTCTCTGTTCTGTCTGCCAGCTTTTTCCAAGCCGATCAAGATGAGTGAAGAGCGGAAGCACTGGAATATGTGGGGGCTTATGAAGTGTTTGGCAACCAAGGAGTCTACTGTGGAGTTTTGCAAGGAGCAGGGACTCATTGCCACCGGTCCAATATGCAAGTGGTGCCGCAGACTACTGAGGTGGTCCCCTACGGAACACCGTGGGGATGGTTTTTCATGGCGTTGCAACAGCCGTCGATGTAAAAAACGTACAGCAAACCGCAGTGTTCGACATAGCTCCTGGTTTGCAGGCAGCAGATTGTCGCTTGAAAAAGTCTTGGTGCTGACGTATTGCTGGGCAGTAGGGATGACAAACAAAGTGGCCGTCAGGGAATCCAGCATCAGTGGCACCATTACCTGCGGCGAAACTGTTGTCGAATGGTTCAACTACTGCCGTGAAGTATGCCTTCACGCGGTGCGGCAGTGCTCAAGCAAGGCTATTGGCGGACCAGAGCTGGTTGTCGAAATTGGCGAATCGAAATTTGGCAAGCAGAAGTTTAACAAGAGCCGTAACATGAAAGGCAAATGGGTATTGGGCGGGATATGCCGTAAGACGAGGGATGTTTTCTTCATTGAGATAGACAATCGTGAACCGGCGACAGTTATTTCTCTGATAAAGGAGTATGTTGCCCCTGGTTCTACGCTCGTCATAACGGACTGTTGGCAATCTTACGATTGTTTCAGTGCAGACAATTTCAAAGATCTCAATGTTTACCACACTGTGAAGTTCATGAATCCACCAACTGGAGCTCTTACTCGGAATGCCGAAAGTCAGTGGACGCAGACCAAACGCAAATTACTTGGTTCAAGCACCAGCTCGTGTGGTGGATTTGGTCTCTACCTGGCTGAGTACATTTGGCGACGCAAGAACAGGGACAGAGATCCTTTCCAGCAAATTCTCGATGATATCTTGTTGCTCTACAAGCCTCCCAAGCGTTTTTAGGATCAAGGGTCTATAGCGGTCGGCTACGGCAGAAGAACTCCCAATTATCCAGAGAAAGAATCTCTCTTCCAAGTTTTTTTTTTTTTTGAATTTGAAATAAATGTAATACCGGTATATGTGTATTCCGCCACCCTACAGTCAAAATCCCATGTTTTGCTTTCTTTCAGCGGATATACAACAATCATTTTTGCTGTTGTTTTCTAAAATGGATGGATTTGGGGAGTTAATATTTTATCTATATTTGTTACGCTGACTTGTTTGAAGTTTCGTGTTCGTAGATGCTGGAAAACAAAAACTACAAGAAAACCAATCATGGTCTTGTATTCTGGTTTCCTGACCCCACTTAAGATGAAACAGCAATTTATAGGCATCAGGGAGTTGTAAGGTCAGGGAACCAGTCTAACTGGCTTGGGGACTAACCAAATATGATAAATGGACCTAAGACGTAATGACGTCACACTTTGTTTACATGTGCCCTTTCCTATGTAGTAGACGGACCCCACTTTATCTGGCGTCCCGACTTCGCTCCCATAGGAAAGCGCATATGTAAACAAAGCCATTACGTCATTACGTCTCAGGTCTATTGGGAGCAGTACATGTATTTGAAAAAAAGCCCATTTTTTTCCTACACTGGTTGGCCGACCAGTATTGGAAATTCGTACAAAAATACCACTTTTCTTGAAAATGCCAGCACACCAGTTGCCATGATTATCCAGGATGATGTCATTCACTTAATTTTGTGATAATTTGGTACATGTAGTTTTGTTTTTTTGATGTTTGCAAATGTTGTATATTCACTTTAAAAATGTGGGGTTTTTTTTTTCCTGAAAATAAATAATCAGCATTAGGTTTGTTCCGAATACTTGAAAGTTCCATACATAATGCAACAATTATTCACTTTTCCATGAGATTTCCTAAATTTATATGCGGGGAAAAAAAAATATGTTCTTATTTATTAAAATAATCACTTGCCGATATTTACTTGTATCAAGTTCAGGCAGATACTTTTGTGCATTTAGAGGCATAAAAAAACCCAAATCACACAACACAAAAAAGGACGATTCGTTTAGAGATAATTGTTTTGAAGAGCATAAGAAGAGCAAGTTGTCAGCATGAGTGGGACAAGACATATTTTCTAAGTGACTCCACACTTGTCTCCAAATTCCTTGTTGATTGGCATATTTGTTTCAATTTAAATTAATTTATATATTGAATATGTTTGACATATTTAGAATGCAAGAAAATTAAGCTAAAATCTTAATTACATGTACAATTGAGATTTCCTGAGTTGTGTAAAAGAGAAAAGTTCTGCTTTATCCAAAGTTTTTGGATATAATTTTTGAATTTTAAGTCTTCCAAAGGAGACAACAAGGGGAGACCATTTGTTTTAAGCTAGCCGCAGCTGGTAGCAAGTGAGTAAAGAGCTACTGAGAACTTGATTTTGAGCTTGACTGTTCAAGGAACTCCAACAATTTCAGTTTATGAATAATTTCAGTTTAGTTGTGATTTAAACAAATTTCTGTTATTTATCACATGCAAAGGTAGAGTTTATCATTTGCAGCTAACTGACAAAATTAACGTTGAAAAGCTTGGCTGGTTTAAAGATAGTAATGGCACTAAAATCCCTGTGAAATTATTCTGTCTGGCATGCAGTTATTTTGAAGAAAACTAATAAAAGGCCTTTTCCAAAGATGCGTTAGTTTTGGAATGTACAGCATCCACTGAGCTAAAAGTTCATCAGCTTAGTTGTTAAGCAACCCGTCTTTAGATTTTAAGCACATTTGCCTCTTGAAACAAACGGATGCACAAGTGATCTACTCTAAGCATTTTTGAATCTGATGAGAAAATTATATAATTTAAATAAATAATTCCTATGGAAGAAATATTGCAAGGGTAATTCTTAATTTCTTAATGTAACTTATTATATTGAACGTCAAGTAGTCTGGTTTCAAATAATGGTCCTTGTATAAAGTCAAGAAAAATTGTATTAGTACATGTACATGTACATGTATTGAGATCCATGGGTAAATAGTTTGCTGGGGTATTTCTCATCACGTGCGTTACCTAGTTCTTGCTCTCAATGTATCCCTCGAACAGAGCTCAGACGAGTGGTCACAAAACCAGCTTATACCTTTAACAGACAACTTTGAATCGAAGGTGCTTGCACATGTTCTAGTCTTTGAGTATAATGAGTAATTTAACTTAAATGTATTACAGCTTATGCTGGATAAATCTCATTTATTGTGAAGCTACAAGACTTTTGGAAGAAGTATATTTGGAAATCATTTGAATTTGGACAAAGTTAGCCAAAGAAGTGTAAATAAGAGTTATAAAATGTTAAAATTGTTCTTTTATAGTGCAAGGATATTTTTTCTGTGCCTATTAGGAAATTGTGTTTTATAAAGATTGTGTAAGCGTACATAGGGCAATACATATATAAATGACATCTTTAAAGAAATGTCCTCAAAAACAGAAACTGTTTGATCTATGGAGGGGGCTTACACATTCTGTCATTGCCAATTAAACAAAATAACTGCATTCTTATGATTCAGTTTGTTGGTTGATCATCAGCATCTACTTTTGCATTGCAAGTAATTCAAATATATTAAGCTGCACAAACAGTGAACATAAAATGTGTTCTATTGCCGCCTCTCCTCATTTTCTTTTTTACCAAAGAGCACCAAGGAATACCAAGGAATGGGGAATTGCACCAAGGCAAATGATCGTGGGCACCAAGGCAAATTATGGAGGACACCAATGTACATGAGGACACCAAAAAAAGCAAAATAGTACTCCACCTTGTCTGTACAATCCAAGCTTGAAAAGAAAAAAGCCGCGTCGCCGCATCAATTCCGGAACTTTGGTCTGACCAATGACCGAGTATTTTAATTTTTTTTTGGCCTAACCCACGAGTGCAGCCAATATGGGCCATGCTACTTATCACCAAGATAGACTTTAGACAGTTCTGCTTATTGGAGGCTTCATCCCAATAACTTAGCTATAGCTAGCAGTAAAACACGTCTATTAGAAGATGATTCAGCCGCTTCCATTGACTTGTATGTGACCTGTCGCTGTGATATCAATTTTACTTGGGAACATATTTTGTGCAAATTTCTACTCCCCTGAAAATGCATGAAAACTATTTGACCTCCGTTTTTGGTTAATCTCATTGAAAAGTGCAATTCTTTAAAACGTTTTAAAAAAAATTCCATGCTTTTCCTGACAACCGAGGGCGCTGTTGCTTTGATGTCATTTCAGGAAAACACTGTTCAGTTTAGGGGTTTTCTGTTCAAATTGTGAACCCAATATTTGCTCATTGAAAACGTGGGAAAACTTTGCTCAATGGCCTACTGTTAATGCATATTACTGGAAACAACAAATCGCCAAAGGAAATTTACGACAGCAAAATTTTCCAAATAAAAGTATTTTGAAATACCTCGTTAGCTGTAAAATTGAGGTCTTTGCCTGAAATGACATCACACTTTTGTTCATGAATAGGCAAATTTTCATTAGCATGAAAAACAAAAAGGCTTCGAAATGCCCATAAAAATGGCAAAATGAAACTTGAAAATAAGGTTATGAAGGTGAATTTACAAAGCAGACTGTGGGGCAAAGCCAACATTTAAATGGGTGGTTGATTTTTTGTTTTCAGGTAAACCTTTATAGTCTCTTACGTCCTGCTCAACCTTTCCCCAATTTCTTTGTTCCATCAAACATCTTTTCATCCCGATGAACCACAGTTAGCCCGGAATGCCAAGTAGGAGCAGAATATTTGCATATGGGTCTAACATAACATGAATAGATTGTAGCCGTGTCCTGTAATGGCATTAAAATGCTTCCATGTCTTTATCATGTGAATCCTGCCATTGGCTTTCTTTAGACTGGATTTGACGTGGGTGTCCAAAACGTAACAAAAATTTGTGATAGAGATTAGTCCTTCCCAGCACCCTATTTAGGGCGGTGGGTACAAGCAAAGTTCGCAAAGAGCCATCGCATCGAAAAATTTGAAGTAAGAATACCTAAATCAACCCGAAGGGCAAACGCTGAGACATAAAATACAAATGTATGCAGTGGTAATTGTAGAACTCGGGCAACCTCATTCCCAGGGTGTCGAGCAGTACACGCCCACCACTAGCTGCTTTCTCACCCTGGTATTGGATCATTTGCATATGTGCAAGATTTTTGAACACGTATGCAAATGAGGAATAGTCTGATGCCTGCCTGTGCGTTACATTATTTTGCGTTTGTTTTGTATGCGGTGTCTGGGGTAAAAACAGAATCAATTCGTCACAGGGTGAAACACGATTTTATTTGAATTAAACTGTTACGATCTTATCGAGACAACATGCAGTATCACATTTCATATTAATATGAACAAATTGGAAAGAAAATGAATATTTTCGAGATGGCATGGACGAATGATCGCGACAACACGTACTGCACGTTGTGAATAATAACACCAAATACACGATATAAATCCATTTCTGGCCAATTGCGGTATCGAATCAGGATACAGGAAGAAAGTTTCCTATCCAGGGCTTACTATTGGAAACGATTTTGGAAATAAAGTAAGCACTGGGGACGAGGTTGATGACATCTTTATTGCATTGTACACAACAGAGTCCAATGTACCGAGCTAGGAATTATATAAAGTTTTGTTCGTGAGTCAGTTGACCATTTCCTCAGTAGGTTGGAATGTTGGCTGTGTGTGGCGGATGGACGGTACAGCCCAGTGAAGCAATACTGCCACCACACTGTCAAAATACATGTAGAACTCTAGGTCTATAAGGCATCACACCGAAGTTCCAGAATTGATGCAGCGACGCGTTTTGTTTTTTTGTTTTTTTTGGCTTTTTTTTTCAAGCTTGATTTGTACAGACAAGGTTGGTAGGCCTACTATTTTGCTTTTTTGTGTCCTCATTACATTGGTGTCCTCCATAATTTTGCCTTGGTGAACATTATCATTTGCCTTGGTGCAATTTTCCCATTCCTTGGTGCTCCTTGCAAAAAATTTAAGGAGGTGCGGCAATAGAGGGCACTGTTGTAGCTTCCGTGTTAATTTGAAGAAAAAAAAGGTTGATGCGCATGATTAAAATCAACGAATGCGCTGACCAGAGACCGACTTTTTTTTTTTGGCCTAGGCCCCCCCTAATCATCATTCATGTTACCGGGTACTTAGTTAGGTGGAACCACCGCCACGGACATTGGTGGCGCTATTTTCTCCAAACATCAATAAAAGAGAATTACAGGGTGTAGTTGACCTTAGAAAGTTGGTTTGTTATAACATCGCATATTGGCGAAAAAAAGTTGTGGATTCCCCAAAATAGCGATGCCGTTTCGGTGCGTAAATTTCCCATACGTTTGTACACATAATCAACTGACAAGGTCACATTTATTTCAGCCAAATTGAGCATCATTTTAAGGCCAAAAAAATAAATTTAAAATTGCAATAATTTCAGAACTGCTTGCCCTATGAAGCGAGGTAGGAGACCACTTTAATTGCATTTTGAAAGCTCTTTATGTAGGCCTAGGCCTAAATTCTACACTTTCGAATCAGCTTTGAAATTTGATGATTCTACCCAACTTACTGTTGTTTCTCAATACATCAGAGATAATTTCACAAAACAGTCATCAATCATAAAAACTTAAACCATGCATACACAGTTTAAACATCCCCTAAAAACGCCCCCCCCCCCCACACCTTAAAGTTTCAGCGCCCGCCCACCCACCCCACCACTCCGAGATTTTTCCGGACAGGCCTGGCCACCTACCTTTGAAAAGCCGCCTCGTTGTCTCTCAGCGTTTGTTCCTCGTTCGCCCCACTTTGGTAGTAATCAAAGGCATTCTTTGACAGGTTTAGTCGCGCAATTTCTTCAAAATCCCGTAAACAAACCGGTTCGGCCTTCCCAGCCATTTTACTATTTTAGTAGTTGTCAATGCAAGACAGCCGGATGAGGGCGCTGTTTTAATTTCACAGTCGATCGCAGTCGTTTTTCCCAAACCGCGGCTTTGTCTACAGTATTATTTACCATCGCCTCTTGGATTCAAAAGATTTTCCTATGAACTCATCTCCAAGTTTAGGAAATAAAAAAGGATTTGAAAAAGTAAAATATGAACCAAGATTATAATAGGTGGCTCTTTGCAGTTATACAATTAAAGAATGCTGCAACCAATTATGAGACATAATGGGTCTCATATCTCTCATGTACTTCATTCATCTAATTATAGACATAACTCCCAGTGCCTTGAGTACCTCAGTACTCCGTTGCGATAATGCCTGGATAGGTTTCTGCAACGTAGCCATACAGATACAGATACAGAACCTGATGCCACTTTTTTCTTCATATATCATTTCAATAAAGGACAGTCTTTACAAATGTTGAAAAGATGAGAATCTGGGACTGAGACACATTTCCAATTTGGTTAGGAATTTATACTTATTTTTTCTTGACTCTGCATTGACTTTGTACTACACAACTGCTGAAGTGGCGTCTGGATACTACATTCTTTCCTGAGTGAATTCCTTATAAAGTATCCGAGTGGACGTTTCAGGAAAGTCTGTTAGTTATTTGAGAAATGTCTACGCTTCTGATGAGCAGCACCATGTGGACGGGGTTAGTTTGGGGGTGGGGTTGTTGTTGTTGGGGGGGGGGGGGGTTGGCGGGGGGTTGTTGTTGTTGGGGGGGGGGGGGGTTGTTGTTGTTGTTGGGGAGGGGCTGTTGGTGTTGATTGGGGAGGTTGAGGGGTTGGGGGTTGTGGGGGGGGGAGCTGAAGGGGTTTGGGGATTGGGTTAATGGGCTTGGGTCGGTTGGGTTGGGGGTTGGGTTTTGGGGGTGGTTGGGTTTGGAGGGGAGGGGTTGGGTTTCGCTGGGTTGGGTAGGGAGGTTTTTTTTAGGGGGGAGAGGGGGAATCGGTTGTAGGTCAATAATTATTACATAGGTCAATAATTATTACATACGTCAATAATTATTACATGGGGCAATAATGACATCTTAAAAGAAATTTCCTCACAAAGAAAAAACACTTCAAGTTATGGAGAGATTTTCAATAATTGTCAATGCCAATTACATAAAACAACTGCATTCTTTTATTCAGTTTGTTGGCTGAACATCAACATTAACTTTGCATGGCAAGTGTTTCAATAACGATTAAGTTCCAATAACAGTGAACAGTAACCTTGGTCATCTACATAATTTTATAATAAAAACATTTTCTTATTGTTTATTGCACGCATTTACAAACTGGAAATTATGTAATAAAGCCATCTTTAACAATTGTCATAAAGTTCTAAACTGTTTTTCAAAGTTTGAAACTGATTGTACATAATATGCTCCGAAAAAAAAATAGACAACTAGCATGTTCAAATATTCATTGAAAACTTGCTTAACAAAAAGGAACTCTTCAAAATCATTTTCTGAAACTTGATAAGCCCATACCTTTAACTGATAAACACATATATGACCATTGCAAGTGCTGAAAATAAATCAGTCACAAGTCCCTTCATAAAAGTCCAGTCACAAGTAACGGGATGAACAATAAGAAAGGAATGCCTTTGTCACAGTTCATTTGAATAGCTAGTGACTTGACTTGAGACTGAAGGACTTGTGATGGACTTGAGATGGACATGTGATGGACTTGTGATGGACTTGTGATGGACTTGTGATGGACTTGTGATGGTCTTGTAATGGACTTGTAATGAACTTGTGGGGACTTGTGATGGACTTGTGATGGAGTTGTGAGGACTAGTGGAGACTTTTGATGGACTTGTGAGGACTTATGGAGACTTTTGATTGACTTGTGAAGGTCTAGTGATGGACTTGTGATGGACTTGTGATGGACTTGTGATGGACTTGTGATGGACTTGTGTTGGACTTGTGATGGACTTGTGAGGGACTTGTGAGGACTTGTGATGGACTTGTGATGAACTTGTGGGGACTTGTGATGGACTTGTGATGGACGTGTGATGGACTTGTGAGGACTTGTGGAGAACTTTTGATGAACTTGTGGTGGACTTGTAATGGACTTGTGAGGACTTGTAATGGACTTGTGAGGACTTGTAATGGACTTGTGATGGGACTTGTGATGGACACTGACTCTGCCAGTTTGTATTGCGCAGCCTTTTCACTCTTGACAACAAAAATTTAAGTGTGGCTTGCAAAATTAAGAAAATAAAATCCATTTTTTATTGCGGTCTGGCTTACAACAAGACATGGTTCTTCACACTTACTTCTTCGACATAACTTTTGCAAAAAGTCCTTCCCCATTCTCTCACAATTCACAGTGCAGTAAATTAACGCAGAATAACAGAACTGGGGCCCCGCAATCCTGAATCAACTGGAATCAATTGAAATCAAGCAAAACAAGCTGCTGGTTTTGTTAGGATTAATGATAAAATCAGTGAAAAAAATGATTTCAGGTATTCAGTTACCAGTGCATGAAACATTTTGAAAGATGTTTTTAAAGTTCAATAATCCTTATGTTTTACATACTTTATGGAACCGCTTTTTGATTTGAATTAACTTTTGAACAATCTAAAGTCACTATTTTCCTCGGATGACTTAAACATAACTCTTAAGTACTTTTCAATTTCATTTTAACATGAGGAACAAAAAACAGATTGCACAACAATTATTGGCAAGAATAACAATAGCAAGAAACAATTGTAAAACATCGGAATCTTACACGATAGACCATTATCATGTTGCGGCCATCTTGATTTTTTTCCCTATTCAAATGAATGTAACCAAAGCGAGGCTGGAAGGAAAAATAGTCTGGTTCCTTTTGGCACAAAAACAATTATCATTCAGTGCTTTCGTTAGATACAGGGAATATGACCGAAATGGTGGCAGCATGATAACGGTCTATACCTCTCATCCTTGACTACCTTTAAAGGGAATGTACAACATTTGCTTTTGCTGCAATTTTCAGAAGTAAATAGATTTGGGGGATTAGAATGTTATAGCAAATATTGTTAAACTGACTTGTTTCACGTTTTGGGATTGAAGATGCTGGGAAAAACCAAGAAAAACATCATGTTCTTGTAGTCTGGTTCCCTGACCCACTCAAGATGAAACGGAGCAGTTTGTCAACTTTGGGGAATTGTAAGGTCAGAGAATCAGTCTAGCACCGCAGGCTTGTACTTTCACAGGTGTGTAATCAATCGCAAAGAAAATGCGGCAACACTAATTATGAAAAATTAAGAGCAGTTTTTGAAAAAAAGCCAATTTTCTCCAACGCTGGTCGGCCGTTGGAAAAATACCATTTTTCTTGAAAATGTCAGCACACCAGGAGCCATGATTTTACAGGGTGATTTAGAACGAATCCCTAATAATCCAGTAAGGTATTTCGTGATAATTTGATCATTTCGTTTTTGATGTTTGCAAATGTTGTATCTTCCCTTTAATGGCATACATTGGCACTCATTCAGTGTAACTCTGCACTGGCATGGCTGGCCGCTGACTCCCTTTTGTGTTTGTGCCACTGGTTCCACTGACGGGCTCTGCAACTACAGTGTTTGAAGAAAAAAAAGAAAAAAAAAACACTTTAAAAACCATTTTTGAGAGAGGTGCACTAAAACTAGCTTGTTGTCAATAACATACATTATGTCAATGTGTGTTATCAAATATATATATATAGATAGTTCGTCCTTCGAAACTCGAACATGACAGCCAACATCTCCATACTAGTTGGTGTTGTGAGTTCCTAGATGGCTAAGAAGTCCAGTTCTAGCCAGGAAGCTGAGGTCACACACTGGACACACTAGATCGGGGGGGGGGGGGGGGGGGGGGGGAGAGTTGGACACGTAGGGAAGCATATAGCTGACGAGATTTTTGTTGCTGTCGTTTCAGCTCAGCCTCCCTGATGAACCAATCCACTGTCAGGGTTTGAACTCAGAATGAGGTAAACTTCGAAGAAAATAATAATGCAAAAGCTGTTCGACCAGTTTCAAGATTTAGAGGATCTGGCGATATTTAGAACTTTCTAGCAACAACCAATAGGAGACTCTCAGAATTTTGGCTATACCCTTGACCACAGACAAATCCAACCCATTAAGATGATGAGATCATACAATAGACCAATTCATTTACCCCCCCCCCCCCTCATAATTGGTCAAAACATCACAGGTAGGCCTAAATGAATCAGTCTTTTCATGAAGTGCTTTGACAGGGTGATAAGCTAACTTCAGTGAGCACTGCGAGATATTTGTCAAAAGTTTTCCCTCGTACTACCTCTCTCTAGAACTTCCTACCCACATTTGATTCCCTTCTACCTATAATCTTTAACAATTCAGATGATATGTGAACTGCCACTGTGACTTCTTTTTGTTCTGCAATTTTTTCATCCTAGTTTGTGGCCCACATCTTAAGATGCTCTTAGCTTGTGTTAGGGGCATGCCATCAAGCCAAATGTACCTGTACTGTTTCCTGAAGTCGGTGGGCAGTTCCTTCCATGTTTGGCTCAATAGTCTCGTAATCTCCCTTCCTTGCAATCTTGGCCACTTGCTGAAAAGTAACACGCATCACAACAGTCATTAGTATTATTACAAATCTTTAATTAATCCTCCTTTTGTTTGATCAGTCACAGACAATCAAAATTCAATCCTCAGGCATGCAACTCGGAATTTAGAAAAAAACGAGGAAACTCCAAACCCCTCAAGACTTTGTACAGTATTTTTCAATTTGTAATGGCATTCCTGAGAAGCAAAAAAACAAGGAAATCAGCGGATCCGAGGAAAAGTTGCATGCCTGAATCCTGTTCCTGCCATGCCTTTAACACAGGCTCGTCACCAACAGTCAGATCATATTTCTTGTTGGCACTGTGACAGTCAAATTCATCAACAGACGAAAAACAGGTGACTGGTAGGCACAGCTGGCTTATCAGTCTCCTACAGTCAAAGCATAGCTATATCACGTTATATAACAATCTCAGCCAATTAATCCTGTTTTGAAGGCAGGGAGCACTCAACTGTTTAAAACAGTCACTTGATTTATTTTGACTGCTGGGCTGGCCTTGGTGAAATCGCCAGCCAGAGAGGGAGGGTTTTTAATATTAAGTTCTCCACTATCAAACTTTACACACACAAAATGTATACAAAAAACAGGATTGACATCTCTCATGTTGGTCGGAGGTACCCTATTGAAGTAAAACACGGGTACCCGAGTACCCATTAAAGAAACCTAACTCCAAGTTCAAACCCTGAAAGCTGTCTGTAGGCTCTATATATAGCGTTACGGTGTAAACTGCAACTTTCGCGAGCAACATCTGTTGCGCGTTAAAATGCCAACGTCTAGCTGTTTTGGTTTTCCATGTAGCCTGGTTTTCATTTTGAAAACTTTCCCTTAAATGGCATTCAAAAAATGTCTTCGTCTGAGAGATTACTTAGTAATTTGTAAAGTTGGTTACAGGTACCCGATCCCATAATCTGGAGCTGTTCCTCTATAAAACATCCCTTGTCATTAGGGTCGGGACTCAAGCACCCAGTTCCAATACACTTCCCCAGTGCACTTGCATACCCTTACAGAAATGTCCCATGAGCATCCCATGGGATTCCCATGGGGTCCCATGGGATTCCCATGGGACCCCATGGGAAACCCATGGGGTCATCAAGAACACCATGTAAGTTAAAATGATCATCATGGGAAACCCATGGGAACACCATGGAGATTGCATGGACAACATGGGAACACCATGGGGATTTTACGAGCTCCATGGGAACACCATGGGGATTTTACGGACACCATGGGAACACCATGGGGATTTTATGGACATCATGGGAACACCATGTGGAATTAATGAACACCATGGGAACATCATGGGAATTTATGGACACCATGGGAACACCATGGGAACCCCATGGCGATTTTATGGACACCATGGGAACACCATGGGGATTTTATGGACACCATGGGAACACCATTGGGATTGAATGTCACCATGGGAACACCATGGGGATTTACTGGACACCATGGGAACATCATGGGGATTTTAGACACATGGGTACACCATGAGGATATGGGGATTTTAGACACATGGATACACCATGAGGATTCGGACGCCATGGGAACACCATAATGTGGGTGATATAAATTATGGATACAATGGGAACACCATGGAGATTTAAAAGGCAGCACGGGGACACTGCCGGGTTATACTGGAGAACATGCATGTGCCATGAAAAACCATCATAGACCCAATTGCACTCCCAAGTTATAGGCAAACCTTTCTTTGATTTAATTACTTATTCGCCTAGCTGTAAATTTGAATTCAATTAAAAATATTTCCCTTGTGGCCACAGAGGTTATCAAGAATTCTATTTGTTAAGCTGACCATGGGAAACTCCTGTGGATGTTCACCAATTGAACACAATGGGATAAACACCATGGGACACCATGGGAACACCATGGGAACACCATGGGACACCATGGGACCACCATGGGACATTTTTGTGAGAACCTCTTACAATAACGAGTGTTGTAATTGCACATTTTTGAATTTTTCTGTTGATAAGTGAAGTTAAATGATGCATACAGTATTTTTTTATGTGGACAATGTGGCATTCAAACTTTGGATAATATTGATTCATTTGTTATTATGGTTGGAAACATTTATAAGAAATAAATTGGGAACACTGTGATAATATGGTACAACTTGACAAGTGGTATGGGAGCAATAATGTGAACTACAGTCATAGAGTGCACAAGCCACTCCTATTACGTGGAACATCGGAGTTCCGTGATGTGCTTTACCAATTTGGTGGATAGCACTTAACACACAGGATTAAAATGTATAGGACGTTGTTATTGAAAAATACCATGGAGCAATAATTTTTTTGAGAAATGAAAGGAAACCATACATGGGAAAAAGCCCATACAAAATTTTCCATGGGAAAAAGCCAATGGGAAAACTCCCATGGGAAAAATCCCATGCTACATGGTGTCCAATTCACCATGCAATTCCCATGGGGTCCCATGGGAAAATTTCCCATGGGAATTACATGGGACATTTCTGTAAGGGTATGACCACTGAGAATTTCGTGAAAAAAAAACTAAGAAAACTCCAAACCGCGCAAGACTTTGTACAGTATTTTTCAAGTTCCAATGGCATTCATGAGAAGCAAAAAACCAGTAAATCAGTGGATCCGAGGAAAAGTTGCATGCCTGTATGACGTGTTCGTCTGGAACACGCAACAAGGTATATAAGCCTCTGTACTGATGACGTCACACTTTGTGACCGTTTTAGCCGATTTTTCGGCTAACTTTGACAGATTTTTTGTTAAAAAACAAGTTTGACAGAAAATTTGACAGAATAGATTTTTTGGCAGATTTCTGGCAGAATTCTGCAAAAATGGATATTTGACAGAAAAACATAGCAAATTTAGAGAAAATGGTACATTTGTTTAAAAAAGCTTCAATCTTTTCAAACAAACCCTTGCATGATGGGACAGATTGGCTGGTCAAGGTGCTGAGGTTCACTGGGAACCGGATTTCGTCGTGACGAAACCGCGTTTTGCCCGATATTTACGCAATTTCATAACATCTTTTTGTGACAATAGATTGTTTGTAATGTAATTTGAACCTTAATTAAGGCAATACTACAACATCTACATGTGATTTTAAGTGTTTATAGCGCATATGGAGTAATTCTGGGGAATTTGGCAGATTTTTGTTAATTCTAACAGATTTTTGAAGTCCATTGAGCAGAATTTGGTCATGACCTTACGGTCACCCTGCTGTGTTTACCTGTGCGCTTTTCTATGGGGCTATGAAACAGTCGTCCCCACCAGGCTCCCAAACACACATGTAAACAAAGCTTGACATTATCAATACAGAGGATTATTGGAAACGGGCACGTGTAGCTGCCCTCTTGTGCAGTGGATGAGGCCTAGTGAATCGGTCCATTAGAAACACTTACTCTCTAAACTGTGGATGGTTGACTTTGGTGAAAAGCTGGTAGCCATTAATCCATGAGCGACGCATTGAGTAACCTGACACGGCCGCTGGCGTCATAACAGCGTGCTGCTGATCACTATCACATGCGAACTCAATAGGGCTGTCCGAGTCCTCCAACTTCAGAAAATGTGGGTCGACCACCAACTTCTGGGCGCTGAGGTCGGTGACTGGGGGCTGCTTGTTCTGGAAACCAAAATAATTGGTGAATAAACCTAACGGCCAAAACTGGGATTTCACACACTCTGGTCTTTTGTGAGAAGCTTAAACTTTTTTGCCCTGTATTTTGTGACCTTGCCGGAATAAATCAGCGTTGTATATAAAGTCCATCACAAGACAATCAGAAGTACAATCACAACTTTTAAACACTTTCCAAATTACAAGGCAGGTCACAAGTCCAATCGCAAGTAAGGTCACCAGACACAAGGGATGAAGAAACACAAGGAGTGTCTCTGTCATATTTCATTTTTACTTTAATATTGACGTGTGATTGACCTAAGAGAACCTGACAACAACTCTGAAAGTAACAATGAAAAACCATTAACCCCCCTGCTGTTTAAAAGGTCACAAACAGTCAAAAGTTTCCTTCCACTTCCGCTGCTATACTTTTAACACACCAATGGGTCACTTGACCAATACTGACCCAAGTAACTAGCCTAGCTCAGCATGCATGTTTGCATAGGAGGGTTAATGGTTCTAAGAACGATTGTAAAAGACTTTTTGTTTTTCAACTGCATTTGGCAGCTTAATTGTTACATACTAAAACGAAGCTAAAGTAAATATACAACATTTGCGTTTTCTAATTTTCAGAAATGGATGGATTTGGAGCTATTGCTTTATAGCATATATCGTTCCACTGACCTGTTCAAATGCTGTCCTTGTTCCCTGACCCTATGCTTCAGACAAAATGGGACAATTTATAGATGTCAGGGAATTGTCAGGTCAGGGAACCTGACTAGCTGGCTTATGCCCATTCACGGGTATGTTACCAATTGCAAACAAAATGTGGACTAACCAAATTTGGTGAAATGTTACCTTTTAATAGCATGGTCCTGATGGTTGAGTATGTGGCACATTTCAATTGCAGAAACTATTACTGAATAGGTAAGCAATAAAATAATAGTGGAGATATATTCACACTAACCTTCACTAAAGAAGACTGCCCATACAAGTGCAGCAATGTGTTAGCCACTGCATCAATATTAGAGGTGCCAGTAGCTGGCTGGATTGGGACGTAACGAGTCGTGCTCTTGCAGGCCGAGGGAGTCACGGTGGTTGGAATTGGTCGGGTTGTTTTGGACACTGAACGGTGCGGAAGTGTAGTTGGAATAATAGTAGACTCACAAGATACCATGTTGATAGGAAACGAAACTGGGTGCTGTATGTACAGAGAAGAGCTCAAGATGCAAGGGAAGACGTCGGTGGAGCTACTGACCCTGCTCTCGCTGGCGATCACAATCTCAGGTTCTGAGGCTGCAGACGGCAGTATCTGGGAAGATTCCAGAGAACTAGGAAAAGCAACAGCAACTGGGATATTCGGTGATTTGTTGTCATTGAAGACGCCGGACGCAGCGTACGCCGGGAGGAACTTGGCTGAGTAAGAGTGCTCTGAGTGAAGTTGGTACTGCAAACTGCAGGATTGGATCGGTGCCGTGCCTACAGGAATCACGCTTGATGCTGAAACGCTTGGAGGGCACTCCTCGAGAGGTTTCGGTGTTGCAGGTGGGAGGGCATATTCCCCATGAGGAGAGGCATCAGCGTGAATGTAATGATCCAACAGCCTTACTCGTTCCTTCCTGACGTTGGAAGCAGAACTGAGACTCGATCCCACCTTTCTCGGCCTGCTGTTTTTCTTGGGATCTCCGTGCTCATCTGAGCCATAAGCAACTGCCCGCGTTGGCTCTGGGACCTCCTTAGGTTGACTGGCAACTGCTGCTGATGCATCTGATCCTTTTAGAGGAGCGGCTTCGTCCACAACCAAGTCACCTTGACCAGGATCTGTTCGAGTTGGTCCTGTCAGTCTTGCTGGCTGAGAAGGGGCTTCGTCAACAACCAACTCACTGTCATCGGAGTCCGTCGGAGTAGTACAAGTCATCAGCCTTTCTGGAGGACGGGAGGGTTTATCAAAAGCCATCTGCGGTATCCCCTTATACACAGCTCCAGAATTTGTGCTCAGAGTCGCGGTACTGCTAGTCTTCGGTGTCGCCTGAGGAGACTTCTTGGCGAGTCTGGATCGAGAGAACCTCCTTGGGGGAGTCCTACCGTCGGATTCAGTTGGCCCTCTCCTAGCTATCAGATCTGTGGACAGGTCTTTGGCTGCCTTGTGGACAGTCTGCAGCATTTTGGGGCTGACTGGAGTGGTAGCAGGAATTTCCAGTCGTTCTCCGCCTAAAAGGAGTAGGGAAACAAATCCACTTTGAAATACTCTGGACATGGATCACACTTGTAAAATATTAAAAGGCATATGTAATGCAATCTTTTTTAATGCAATCGTTGAAATGTATCTTTGTGGCCCATTTAGTGGAGCTGCTAAGCGAAAAATCATGCACTTTGTGGTAAAAGCATGAAATTTGGCATGTGGGGTCAAAATGGGCTAAAAATCATTTTAAGATTGGGACCCATCCTCGATCTTGCCCATTTTGGGGGCGGAGCTTGATTTTTCAAAAAAGGGGGTGCAAACAATACAAACTCATGAAAACTGTATTTAACATCAAATTTCCTTGGTTTTTTACGCTTTGAAATAAACTTAAACATGAAATAAGACATTCTAGCATTCTAACACCTGTTAATTTTCCACCCATTTTGTGGGCGTGGTCTAAATGGTAAAAGAGGCGGTATATATTAGCAGTTTGGTTCTATTATGGAAAACATCATTCAGTTTGGTGGTAAAATTCTGAAAATTGGCATGTCCAATTGAAATGGGCGAACATAATTTTTAGAGGTGAACGCATCTTGGATCTTGCCCATTTGGGGGGCGGAGCTTGATTTTTCAAAAAGGGGAGTGCATAAAAAGAAAACTCAGAAAACTGTATTTTACATTCACTTTGTTTCTCATGCTTTGAAACAAAGTGGATGTAAATTCTAACATTCTAACGTGTTATTTTCACCCTTTTGCGGGCGTGGCCTAAATATGTAAAGAGGCAGTACATTAGAGCAGCTAGATTCAAACGAGGGAAAATCATCATTTTTGCTGGTAAAAACACAACTTTTCCATCGGTTAACTATGTTTACCATACACTGTAAAGATAAGTTTAAACGGTTGCAAGACTAATTGTTGCCCTTTAGGGGTGGAGCTACATTTTAAAGTAGGCGGCTATAAAAAAAATCATATCTAAATTGTTACGATTGTCTACAAGTAACTTACACAGGTCGAGTCAAAAAAAGGAAACCCAAATGGCAGGACAAATTTTTTTAATGAAGTTCTGCATGTAGCACTATCAAAATCAAGATATGTAAGCCCAATTTATAAGCTTTGTTTTAGTACAAGAGTCATTCAAATCACTTATGTACTTTGCAAGTTACAGAATTTTAAACACAAACACCGTCTCAAAAGTTCTGTCAGCAAAACGAAAACAATTCACATATAGGGGGATGCGCTGGAATTGTTTTCGTTTTGCTGACGGAACACACACCATTTTTTGTGATACGTGGACAGAACTTTAAAACAGTGGTTGTGTTTAAAATTCCGTAACTTGAAAAGTACATATGAGTGATTTGAATGATTCTATTGTACTAAAAGAAAGCTTATGAATCGGCTTTCATATCCTAGATTTTGAAAGTACTACTTGCAAAACGTTATTAAGAAAATGGTCCCGCCATTTGGGTTTCCTTTTTTGTTCACTCACCCTGTATACTTACAATGGCGGCATTTCCTAATTGTGCATGTATTATAAACACTATGGGGATCACAAGGAGAGGGAGGGGAATTAGGGGCGGCCCAATGAAGGATTTCTTGAAAGTGCTCTTCTAATATGTTTAATATATATATATATATAGGCATATAAACATGAAAATGTGCACAGAATATACGTCCATTCCTTGCAGTGTGTACTGTTGGATTTATATTAGATGGATGTTGGGACTTGGGGAGTAATGTCTTACTGACTGAAAAGGAGGGAATAATGTTGGGTTTTTTCGAGAAATTATGTAACTTCTTAAATAATGCGTTAGCACTTGGATATGTTATTGGGAGAAATTGCAGTTGACTCCCCCTTCCCCAAATATAAAAACTACACGAATATATCAATGTAGCTGATAACATTATTTGAGCCATTATTTGTTCCACAAACAAGTTGTCACTTGATACGAATTCATACAATGATATGAATTTGATTTAAAAAATAAGATATCATTTTCTAATTCTCCCTATTTAGTATAAGGCCTAATGTCCAGTTTGCTGACGTCACGATCCTAAAACCTCACAAAGTCATTACGTTTTTCTATATAATATCTAAGGGTACGTTTGGTAAAATTTGGATGAATGGTTTTTAAATCAAAAATAGTCTAACTTTCTTGGACGTGCTAGGGGGTGCCCTTTCAGGCGATGACATCGCCATGCCACCGTTTTTATGCCCCGCGGCGAAGCCGAAGGGGCATACTGTTTCCGCCTTAATTGTCCTTCCGTGGGTGGGTGGATGTGTGTGTGTGTGTCCGGACAAATCTTGTCAGCGCGATAACTTAAGAAATACTTAAACATATGAACTTCAAATTTGGTTTGTGTATTGTTCTTGGTAATCCTAAGAAGCCTATTGCATTTGGGACCGAAAGGTCAAGGGTCAATGTCACAGTGGCTGAAACAATAGACATTTTGTCAGCGCGATAACTTGAGATATACTTTACATATGAACTTCAAATTTGGTTTGTGGATTGTCCTTGGCAATCCTAAGAAGCCTTTTGCATTTGGGGCCAAAAGGTCAAGGGTCAAGGTCACAGTGGCTAAAACAAAAGAAATTTTGTCAGCGTGATAACTTGAGATATACTTTACATGTGAACTTCAAATTTGGTTTGTGGATTGTCCTTGGCAATCCTAAGAAGCCTTTTGCATTTGGGGCCAAAAGGTCAAGGGTCAAGGTCACAGTGGCTAAAACAAAAGAAATTTTGTCAGCGTGATAACTTGAGATATTATACATGTGAACTTCAAATTTGGTTTGTGGATTGTCCTTGGCAATCCTAAGAAGCCTATTGCATTTGGGGCTAAAAGGTCAAGGGTCAAGGTCACAGTGGCTAAAACAACAGACATTTTGTCAGCGTGATAACTTGAGATATACTTTACATATGAATTTCAAATTTGGTTTGTAGATTGTCCTTGGCAATCCTAAGAAGCCTATTGCATTTGGGGCCAAAAGGTCAAGGGTCAAGGTCACAGTGGCTAAAACAATAGAAATCTTGTATTTATTCCGAGATCATAGGGATTAGGGATTAATTCATATAAAACACCTACACGAACGTGTTTGCTTAATTTTCATTCATACAGATGTGAGTAAATGCTTCAAAATTGGAAGTAAAAGCAAATGCCATGTTTTATTCATACGAACATGGTATCATTTGTACTTTATGAACTTTGTTAATATTAATTTTTCGCGATTAACATATAATAAATGCTGTAGCTTTCGCACAGAATTATTTGCTTTATAATTTCAAGGTTGCCCCAACCCAGCCTTGTGAATGACAAGTGCATATTTGAAATCTGAAGCATTTACTCCTTTATATTCATACGAAACGTACAGATGGGAGTAATGCAAATGCCAGTTTTTATTCATACGAACTACCGTATGGTATTATTTGTACTTTTTCGCGATTAACATTAATAAATGCAGTAATTTTTGCGCAGAATTATGTGCTTTTATATTTTCAAGGTAGCCCCAACCCAACCCTGAAATATGACAAGTAAATATTTAAAATTTGTAGCATTTACTCCTTTTTATGCATAAGAAACGAAGTAAACGCTTATAGTGTAGCAAAAGCTTAAAGGTAAAAGTAATTATTTTCAGAATTTAGCAAACGGTTTTTAGTAAAAGTGTTTGCTTAATTTTCATTCATACAGATGCGAGTAAATGCTTCAAAATGGTAGCAAAAGCAAATGCCATGTTTTATTCATACGAACATGGTATCATTTGTACTTTATGAACTTTAATAAATGCAGTAATTTTTGCGCAGATGTATTTTACTTTATAATTTCAAGGTTGCCCCAACCCAGCCTTGTAAATGACAAGTGCATATTTGAAATCTGAAGCATTTACTCCTTTATATTCATACGAAACGAAGTTAACGATAAATAATTTTTTTTCTGGTAATGAAACCAAGGATCCTCAAAAGTGCATGCCCCAGGCACTGTAGCTCGCAAACCCCCCCAAAAAAAACGTAGAGAGAAGACAATGAGAAGAAATTACAGTTTTAGAGGTGGGAGGAAAACCCCAGAAGAATAGTCTGGGGAAAACCCACTGAATCAGGTAGGGACTGAAAACCCAATCCACATGTAGACCATGGGTGCCGATGCACAGCGCATTGTGCACGTAAACGGCATTGCGTTCGTCGCGTTTGATGCGCTTTTTTTGTATCTGTCCTCCAGCACGTGACCCTCCCCGGTGCCGCTTTCCGTTTCGGTTACGATAGTTTTATTTTCTGCAAACTTATAAACGTGTAAAGCTTTACAGTTTGCAGGCCATTTACTCAAGAGCAAATGGTTTTTAGTAAAAGTGTTTGCTTAATTTTCATTCATACAGATGCGAGTAAATGCTTCGAAAGTGGTAGAAAAAGCAAATGCCATGCTTTATTCATACAAACATATGGTATCATTTGTACTTTATGAACTTTAATAAATGCAGTAGTTTTTGCGCAGAATTATTTTGCTTTATAATTTCAAGGTTGCCCCAACCCAGCCTTGTAAATGACAAGTGCATATTTGAAATCTGAAGCATTTACTCCTTTTTATTCATACGAAACGAAGAAAACGATTATTAGGCCAAAAAAGGCTCTGGTTTCTGGTATGCGCGCGCGTCGCCATAGCCATGCGCGTCGGCAATGTAAGATGATGTCTTTTAATGTAAGATGATGTCTCAAACCACCAAACTCACTGGTTCGACTGGAATCCTGCTGCTGCACAATTTTAACGTGTTATTTCTCATAAAGTTATTTCTCATGTCTAAGTTTATTTCAAGCATGAAGAACAAAGGAAAATGGATGTTAAATACAGTTTTTCTGAGTTTTTATTTTTTGCACTCCCCTTTTTGAAAAATCAAGCTCCGCCCCCCAAAATTGTGCAAGATCCAAGATGTGTTCACCTCTTCAAATTATTTTCAGCCCATTTTAACTGGACCTGCCAATTTTCAGGATTTTACTACCAAACCGAATAATGTTTTCCATATTAGAACCAAACTGCTAATATATACCGCCTCTTTTGTACATTTAGGCCATGCCCACAAAATGGGTGGAAATTAACTGGTGTTCGAATGCTAGAATGTTATATTTGAGTGGTCGGGTACAACCCGACCACTCTTTGGATTTGTTGCGATTAATCTTTATTTCTTTCTTTCTTTCTTTCTTTTTTTTTTTTCTGCATAGCACGTTTCCGCGGGTTTTCTCCTAAACGGTATATGATATGAACTTGTACCTTTGAACATATATTGACCCTCATTCCGGGTGGTGCATATTATGACGTCACTATGACGTCATCGGGTGTCAAATTACAAGCGATTTTCGTTGAAAAAATGACGATCTTCTTTCATCTATAACTCTTCAACAAAATGATCAATTATGCTCCAACCTTGTAATCAGATAAACCATAAATTGATAAACATTTTTTGTTGTGTAGGTGAACTCGCTTGACCTTTACTTCCGGGTCTACCGAAAGGTCAAATTTAGGTGAATTCAAAATAAAGACATTAGCCTGAAATCGAAACAAAGCACAATTTCTTCCAAACGGTTTACGGTATGATCATAAAACCTACTGTGAACCTGTACCATGTTACGAAGATGTTATAACTGTTGTTACGTCATCAAAACGTCATCAGGTATCAAATTACAAGCGATTTGATTGCACGATTTGACAAAATACTTTGACCTATATCTCTTGAACTAAATAGGGTATCGTGTTCGTTTTTTCGTGAGGTTGTAGACGGTGCCTTGAGCAACATTTCTTATTCCCGGGCACAAAACTGCTTGACCTTTACTTCCGGTGTTACCGGGAGTGCAATAGAAACTGAATCTAACTCTAAAACGGAAGCATTTTCGTACAGACAAATACATTATTGAAGTGTTAAGTGAGGAATGCCAAACACAAAAACATTATTTTGACGTCATCCAAGAAAGGGCGCCCTCCAGCGGCACATGGAAAACAGTTTAATCTTTTAAAATGTTAAAACCCTTAATCAAATTTTTATGATATAATTGCCCCTATATATCCCGTGAGCAACCACAAATGAATTTGCAAGGTTTCATAATCATGACGTCATCAGACCGGAAGTTACTGTAGGGAGAATTCAACAATGACCATTTTATTTTTAAAGTCATCTTTTGATCCTTGTCTCATGACTTTGTTTTTTGCCCCCCCCCCCCAAATGACATCTGTTACACTTAATATTGACCTTTTGCTTCCAAATACTGTGACGTCATCAAACTGGAAATTAGCTGTTATTATTACATACACTTAATTTCCATATTTCCATGCATTATTTTTACTTAATGATAAACAAGTGTCCTCCCTTCCCTGTTTTGACTGATGACGCCATCAAACCGGAAATAACTTGTACTCAAACTGTTTACTGAAATTTATCATACCTTAAAAGACGCATTCTTTATGTGAAAAATAATTGGAACTGGAAATGTTGAAGTTCTTGGTCCGTTTTTTTCTGACATAAACATATTCATAACTTAATTGGACAATGTCTAATGAAATGGTTGTCTACCCGACCACTCTGCGTTTGTAACAACAAACGCGAACCTCTAGTTTATGTTTAAGTTTATTTCAAACCATAGAAAAACAAGGAAAATGGATGTTAAATACAGTTTTTATGAGTTTGTATTGTTTGCACCCCCTTTTAAAAAAAATCAAGCTCCGCCCCCAAAATGGGCAAGATCCAGGATGGGTCCCGATCTTAAAATGAATTCTAGCCCATTTGGACCCCACCTGCCAAATTTCATGCTTTTACCACAAAGTGCACGATTTGGGCCAAAAATGGACCTAAGCAGCTCACCTAATTTAACTTTATCTTTAATCTTCGTATTGCCATTTTAAGAGCTTTTTTGATTGGTTTTATGCTGATACAAATTTCCATATTCAAGAGCAAAACTGTGATGTGATTCAAGGCAGAAACTTTACTGTCACATCTGCTTCAGCATAAAATGCCGCCAGAATTTTGTGGGCTTGCTGTGGTTACTTGTCTGCTTGTAGTGATTCGTTGTTGTTTGACAGTTAAGACAATGAGAAAACTTTATGCACAAATGTGTGTTTAATACGCAAAAGTTTGGGTTCACAAACTTGAAGAGAAAAAGCCTAATCCGAAGAGTATGTGCCTAAAGTGACATCACATCAACAGCACCCTTAGCTGTTGGGAAATGCATAAAACGTTTTAAAGGTTTAAAAAAGAGTGCACTTGAAAAAGATTTTTTACCAAAAAGGGATGTACTCTTAGTTTTTCATACATTCAGAGGAATGGATATTTGCTATGCTCCAGTGTAAAATTCATTTTATTGACCCTTTAACCAGTTTGGGTCGGAGGACATGATAACACGTACTATAACGCGGCTGAAGGGTTAAGACTTCAAGAATGCTACGACCCGCCTCTGGGTGACGTCTGAACACGCTAATACCTTGTGCCTTTTGTACACACACACACACACACTAATTCTGTGAAGTCTGTGGAGGGGGACCATGTGTTGATCTTGAATTGGCCGTTGTGCACGGCCTATTGTTTTACAATTTACACTCCACTGCACAACTCGGAGTATTGAAACATATGAGGTTTCAGCAAGAAAAATTGAACAGATACTGTTCAAATGACTCTTGCGAATCAGTATATGTGGCGTTTGGTTGTACATCAGAAGTTGGCTGGAAAATGCCGCCAATTTCGGCAAAAATAATCCCGGCGCGAAGTGGTTAAGGAGCAAAAGAAGTGCAAGAAGCGCAACCAATTAGAACCAATGCAAGAGGCCCGTTTGGCTCATAAATTATGTATGATTTATAATACGAGTACCTACCGACCACAGTGTTTAAGGGTATGTTGAAGCTGATCCTACCGTCCTGGGTATTTTGTTCAATGCTACGCTCCAGGCAGAGATGAGTTATTTTATGTTGTAGAAAATCAATGTAGTCGTTTGCCGTCCTGAGAACATTGTACTGTACAGAAAGAAGATGCAAAGGTCTAAGAAGTGTTCACAGGGTTAAAAAAACGAACTAGATCAAGTGTTGTAAGACTACTGATAATTGTATAAGTAAGGAACACAGGCTTTGGCTAGAACCAGCTTAGGCCCATTCTAGACGCCGTGCTACTGCCGCGCCAAACTTAATTGACCTATTGCCATTTGCAAGTTGGCCAAGCCCCTTAGACAACACTATGGAATTTTTACGCCAAGTTTTGTCTCAGAGGTTGCACGTTCAGTGTCCATTTGTATATCATGTAATTGGACAATATTTCACAAGCTGCGTTAACGCAATGCTACCGCGATTCTTCCGCGATAGGTCAATTGAATGAGTGCAGCAATAGCTCGTCTACAGCACGGCAGTTGCTCATGCCGAACTTAATAGTCAAACCTTAATGCATCTGGAGTAACTGGCCAGGATAAAGCAGTTCAAGAAGTTCAATAAACTTCCAGCGTGATCAAGTTTTCAAGCCAATCTCACTCCCCGTGATGCGGACGCGAGAGAAGGTATTGTTAGCATGCGCATATACATTCCTAAAATGTTGGTTTGAAGCTGCGGACCTTCAGATTGTCAGAGCTCCGCCAACTGAGCTATCCAGCCCCATGTTGGCGGTTCCCCAATTTGTCAATGTCCTTATTGGTTTAAGGGGTGCTAGTCAGAAGCCATGAACCTGTATATGCCATGTGGCCAGGGCCCAATTTCACGGCGCTTGCTTAACAGTTAGCAGAAAAGTTGTGCTTAGCTTAGCAGAAAAATTTGCTGACCTTAAGCACTATTTCACGGCGAAGATGTGCTAACGGTCGCGCGTGCATGGCGATTTCTATTGTTAGGTCACTGAGTTAAGCAAATTTTTCCTCTGAAGTGAGCGTGCCTTTTGCTGTGCTTATGCTTACTTTGTCCATGAAAAAGACGGAGGCTCTGATAGCAGCAAATCGTGTGCTAAGCAGCGCCGTGAAAATTGGGCCCAGCAATCACGCCCAAAGTCACGATGCTAGCAACAGTGGCAAACAGGCTCCAAACCATTAAAATGGCAAACTGGGATCACTCAGAGACAAACTTCTATTGCCCCTTGAACAAGGACACTGACAAACTAGGGACCCGCAAACATAGGGCTGGATAGCTCAGTTGGTAAAGCACCGGAACGGCAATCCAGAGGTCCCATGCAGGTTCAAACCCTGCTCCAGTCAATTTCTTTGTTCACTTTTGAAAAAGTTATTTTTATTCAAATTTCTTGTTGGAATTGTGTTTTTGCACATGAAAGTTGACATACCTTTGTCACACTTCTGAAAGGATTGCCGGGGGGTAGAATCTTGACCAGTTCCTTCATGGCTTCATTCAGGCTCCGATGGCGCTGTCTAAACCAAAGAAACAGATAGCAATTCCAGCATCACAGATATTTCAAATCAGACATTTTTGGGGGTACTTTAAAGGTATAGTCCATCATTTGTAATTTGTGCATTTTGTTCGTTTGAAGCAACGACAGTGCTCAAAATCTAAAGAAGGGTACTGAACAACTAACCTGATGAAGTTTCAGCTCAGCTTCAGCTGTTACGAGAAAAACACCATTCTAGGATCTCGATTTCAAATCAAAAGTGGCTGAATCATGTTTGGAATTGGGCATGAATTCAGCGTCCGAGACACGTTCTCACTGAGCCGATTGCAGCTACGCGATGTCGCGCACTGATCCGATGAATTATAACAACTGCGCACGCGTGTGCGTCGTGCCAATGCTTGCGCGCGTTTCGCCGAATAACAAAACGAAAAACTAATTTAAATTTCCTACGGTGCTTCTTAAGAAGCACCGTTGGAAATGCCTTTTTTCATTGATTTCTTCAAAATGACAGCTTGCCATAAAGTCCCCTTACTATCTTTCAACCAAGTATGTTTTCCATCACTATTACGTCAGTCACTTTTTGGATAGCTGCAAATGATGGACTCTGGCTTTAAGAGCTCAACAAATGAACCTGAACATGTATTTTTCAAATCTTATACATCATCGCCTAGTAAGGGTCAAGATGATTAGGGTTGTCCCGAATATTTGAATATCAATTGAATATAAGAATAGCTTTTTGCAGCTTTGAACATTCGAAAACAAAATAAACTCTGTACACACACGACTGTGTTGATACTTCATCATAAAGTTGCGGCGTTTTATTGTCAGGTACCACTTTTTTGTTGACAGTAACTTTTTGTCGACAGCTGTTCATTGTTTCTATCCTTTTAGCAGATTAAAGCCCTTGACAGTAATAAAATAAAAAATATCTTCTGCATTTTAAAAATAATGTTCTGTTGTGCACATGTGCAGTGGGAATACAAAACTGTCGAAAGCGTGTTAGGGCCAGGCACCTTTCTCTTTCACAGCGGTGAGTGTCTCTTTCACGGTGGTGCATTTCTCTGTCATGGTAGCTAGCCTCTCTTTCAGAACGTGTGTCCCTCTCTTTCAAGGGGGCACATCCATTTTTCACAGGGGTGTCTTTCTCTCCAAGAGTGATTAACTAATGGCCGCAACTAATAATTGGTAGCCGCGACATAATAACTTAAGGCCGCAACTTATTCATCTCGCTGCCGCAATTTATTAACACACAGCCGCGACTTTTTAACTCGCGGCCGCGACTTCGCAGCCGCGAGTTTAACAAGTCACGGCGGCGAGATGATTAAGTTGCGGCCACGAGATAAATATGTAGCGGCCCCAAGTTATTATGTCACGACTACCAATTATTATGTCGCGGCCATGAGTTAATCACACTTTGGAGAGAAATACACCCCTTTGAAAAATGGACTTACCCCCTTGAAAAAGAGGGACACACGTTCTGAAAGAGAGGCCAGCTACCACGACAGAGAAATGCCCCATCCTTAAAAGAGAAACGCACCGCAGTGAAAGAGATACCGGGCCATAACAGGCTTCCGTATAAATCTGATTTGCTGGACACCCACCTCTCGTGTACCCTGTGTACTTCTCTTTTCTCTTCCAAACTACCCATCTTGGAGCCTGTTGCCTCAGCTCTGTGTGACGTACATTCATCCTGGTCAAGTCTCCTCACTTCCTTCCCGGAACGAGTATACCTCTGTTGCTTCTTCGGCAGAGTAAAGGGCGGCTTCACCACGATCGTTACTCGCTTCCGTCTGTCAGTTCTTGAGTTCCTCTTCACTGCTAGCATTGGGACGGCCGTGTTTCTGCTGCTTGCATTCGGTTTGGTCCGCTGAATTGAGAAAGTTATAGGGTCCACGAAATGAATATTACCCATAGATATATTATTCACATCATGATACATCATTGCCATACAGGGTGTTTAAAAAAAAAAGAAGGAAACCGAGCTTATATTGTTGATTTCTCGGGTATGACTAATTAGTTAGGAAAATGGTAACCACCATCTGTTACATAACCATGTCTTCTTTTTCTTGACACCACGAACTCCATTTTACCGTCACGGATGACTGAGCACCAAAGTGATGTAACTGACATGCCAGAAATGGCCTTGTACCACATGCACAGTTTTCAGCATGTTGAAAATAACAAAATCCAGGACGTACATTATCAAACTCATTTATTCAATTTGCTAAAACATAGCAAGGTTTATCATATCACTGTCCTCGTTAACCCAACTGTCCTTCAACATGCCCCCCATTCCTTTCAACGCAAATCTCTGCCCTGGTTCTCATTGCTGTAAACGCATTCCTGATAACGTCTCCTTCAGATAACTGTCGATCGGTCTTGTGGTGCATGTGATACAAGGCCATTTGTGGCATGTCAGTTACATCACTTGGTGCTCAGTCATCCGTGACGGTAAAATAGAGTTTGTGGTGTCAAGAAAAAGAAGACATGGTTATGTAACAGATGGTGGCTACCATTTTCCTAAATAATTAGTCATACCCGAGAAATCAACAAAATAAGCTTGGTTTCCTTTTTTTGTACACACCCTGTACATGTACGCATGTCAACTAAAGTTTACTTGCATGTGTGATGGCTGCGTAGTTTTGCTGATAGCACTATTACATGCATCAACCTATGTTACTAGCAATATTGACATACAGTCATACACACAAAAGGTATTTAAAAAAAAAAGGCCTAGCTGAATTTAAAAATACTTTGGGTTTGATTATAGGTCTGAGAAAATTACTACTATTTCTAGATGAACTCTTAATGTTCTGGGTCAGTCAGAAACAAATGTCAACAAAGAACTAAAAATGCAGGTATCTATTGCGTGAGTGACTGACAACATGACATGTGCAGTATTGACAAAAAGGAAAAACAATTCCATTCTGAAGTACAAATTTATGGTTGATCATTGATCAATACTTCAAACTTGAGGGTTTGAAAGTAGTGTATTGAATGAATTCATACATTAACAATATGCAGAGTTCACCAAAAAGAGTGCAACATTCAAAAACTAAATAATTAAAACTGTTTAAAGGGCATGTACAACATTTACTTTTGCTGCAATTTTCGGAAATAAATGGATTTGGAGGATTGGTATGTTATAGCAAATATTGTTGAACTGACTTGTTTCACATTTGGGGCTTGTATAGATGCTGGAAAACCAAGACAATTAATTATGTTCTTGTAGTCTGATTCCCTGACCCCACTTAAGATGAAACGAGCAATTTATAAACTTTGGGAATTGTAAGGACAGAGAATCAGTCTAGCAGGTTTGTGCCCCTTCACAGGTGTGTAATCATTTGCAAAGAAAGTGTGGAACACCTAAATTAGAAAAATTCGGAGCAGTTTTTGAAAAAAAAAAAAACAATTTCCTCCAATGCTGGTCGGCCGACCAACGTTGGAAAAATGCAAATTTTCTTCAAATGTCAGCACACCAGGAGCTACGATTGTACAGGATGCTTTAGACAGTAATTCCCTAACAATCCTAGGTCTTTCGTGATGATACAATCATTTTGTTTTTTGATGTTTGCAAATGTTGTATCTTCCCTCTAATGTTTATTTCTTTAATGAAATTTTATATTACATTAAAGCCCGGCTATTTCTCAATCCACTCCTTTTTACCCCAGTCCATTTGGGTCCCTGGATCCAGAAATACAATCACCTAAGTGAAAGGGTGTCAATTTGACTTGGGCCACTCTCACCTGTGATGTCACCAACTTTAATGCCTATTCCAGAACGCCTACACAATGCTTAACCCAGATTATCAGCATGTCCAGGTGAAAGTGGCCCAAGTAAAGTTTACACCCTTTATTTTGCATTTTTTTTTCAATATATTGTCTTGTTATTGGTTTCAAACAAAATTGTGGTTTGGACACAACTTTGTATCAAAAAAGTCAAGAAAATGGAAAAATACATCCGCCATCTTGGCGAAAAAGGGAGGGGGGGCGCCTCTTCCTTCATTTTTTTTCCAAAAAGCCTGGTTGGCAACTGCTTTTTTTGCTCTGCCTAAAGTAAAAGATGAAAAGTCATACCCTGTGTCGAATTTCACACTTCTGTCCTGTCTTGTCCTTGTTGCACGGAAGTGAAACACTGGATGATTTCTGCATTATTTTCTACTTTTTGTATCACACAGCTGAAAGAACGAAACAAAAACAAGAACGAGTTCAGGGAAAGAATGAAGTATTCAGATACCACTCTCAGTCTCACTCCGTTGTGTAAGTAAGTCAAATGGCGAGTACTTTCTCACACAAGTACTTTCTTTTAAGATCAGAAATGATTCCCAATGCTCTTCAACAGATTAACTTTTTTCTCCCGACAAATTTGCAATTTTGTATGTTTTATTCAAACAGAATAACTTACATTTTTTTCTATTTTGCCCCTGAATTTCTGTCAGGCTAAATTGAAATTTGAACAGCAAATATTCCACAACAAAACGTGGGCAGATTCTTTTGTTTGGTATCTCATTTTTGCATTGCTAGAAAAGTAGAACAGGTAGGCCTAGAGCAACTTTATTGGTTTTTTTAATTCTGGAGATTTTTAGTCTGGAGTGCTGAATAGTAACACTATACACTGTATTATAGTAATTTATTTATAGCAACCGATAAAAACTGATGTACAAATGAATAGATGTTTTCATAGTGCATGCATAAAAAGGCCTTTTTGAACAACTAACAATATTTTTGCAAAGGCGCCTTTTTTAAACTCTCAAGCCGCAGCATGGAATATGCCAAGTGTACGGCACGCGAAGGAACTTTATACCGTCATCAAAGCATGGAGGAATAAAAATTCCTCCATGATCAAAATAAAAAAAAGTCAACCTTGATTATTTGATAAAGTTGATTTACTGCCCGCTCGAAATACTGATTACTGGCATCCAAGACACACAGATTTTATCACAAATAATGACAAGTAAAAAGAGTGGTAGAGCATTTTGTGTACTGTGTAGACAGAGTAAATTACATGGAATCTATTATTACCCAAATCAAATTTACCCGGCCAAGAAGTGACGTACGGACCGGCGACTACGGACTAGACTGCGCGCCGGATTGATTCTGCATGTAATAAACAGCGCCACCTAGGGGCTTTTAAGCGGACGACCGACAACCTAACGTACCCAGTAGTTCAGCATTTCAATTCATCCCCACGTGCGATGTCAACCACATGTTTGTTTGGGATCACTCATCGTGGACACGAGTCTGTGCCAGTTCACCCCGCCCAGCAAAGGCTCCGCGTGATTATGGGGTCATCGTGTATTTGTGTACATTTTACGTGTGACTAGCGTTTCCACGCACACGCCACATGCCAAACGAATGCCGAGTTACGTAAATATTGTTAATTAGGTAACGAAATTCCTATCTTTGAATGTTGCACTTGAATCATCGTCACCAGGACTAGCTCAGGAAGAATTTTAGGATGAGAACGGTGAACGTGAACATGGCTCTGCGTACGAGAGCCGGCAAGAGCGGCACAGTCATTCTGCAAGTGCCTGGAAAGGGAGTGACCGAGACGAAGCAAGTGCTGTACGCCGGGAAAAATGGCGTTCGGAACGGCGCGGTGAATGGAGCGGTGTTGAATGGGACGGCCAACGGCCACTGCACGCCCGTTTGTAATGGCCATGCTGTTGAACAACTGGATGAAATCAAACATGAAAAGGTGCGTGCTCATTTAAAATTACAGTGAACTTTCTTATCATTTTAACAAACTTGTTATTGTTAACAGGTTTAACACTGTGTTTACAATATTAATATTTAAATAATAATAAGAACGCAGTGGCTATTGTTACGGCAGCCGTAACGCATTTCCCATTTTCTATCGTTACGGTAGACTGCAACTTTTATAAAAACATGACAAGAAAATATAAAATTAGAAGGAAAAAAGTGAATTTGAACGTTATGAAATTCGGACTTTATTTCCCTTTTGAAAAAAATCCTCCAAAGCCTCAGGTTAGAAAAGGAAAAAAATTCGAGTGCAAAACTGAGATTCGAACCCGCAACCTCGCAGTGCAAAATCCTACCCTCTATCGCCTGAGCTGTCGCACTGCTCGCTAAAACGTGTGGAAACAAATAATTATATACCTGTGTGCGTATCAAAAAAGTATCGTAGAGGGCGCTAAACAACGACTGCCGTAACGATAGCCACTTCGTAATAAGAAAAACATGAAAAGATCAAAATAGAATTTCCAAATTCCAGCACCAGTGCCCTGCGCGTGCTGCGTGAGGCTGAACAATTTGATATGAACTTTCTGACTTGCCTATGGCCATGGGCCTACTATTATTATTAAGTTATAACACCTGAATAAATCCCCGTCATCTGATTGGATGATCGTTGATCACATGTCATTGAATTATTCGTACAACGCACGACGTGCGCGTGGCGCACAGTGCAATGAAAGTTCTATTGCACTGTGATTAGAACTTCTATTGCACGCTGTCACTGCTGCTGATGGTGGAGCATCCTCCAAAATCAGCAGCACACTTTTGTAGCCTCAATCCTGCAAAATCCTCCATTTTACAAAGAGGACTTTGAAGAATATGGGAAGGTTAGGGTTAAACAAAAGGTTCAAATCACACTCACACACAATCCTGTCAAGGGTAAAGGCGCACTCTATTATGTCATAGGCCTAGTTAATTTTTTTTTTAAAAGAAGAGTTAAATTGCCTCAAAAAAAAAATGTGGACGCCACTTTTTTTTCTTCATATATCATCTCAATGAAGGTCATTCATTGCAGAAATGATGGTAAGACATGAATCTGGCACTGAGAAATGTTTCCAATTTTGTTAAGAAATACTTCAAAATTTCTTGACTCTCCATAGACTTTGTACACAATCACGGAAGTGGCGTCAGGTTGCAACATTTTTTCCAAAAATGTTGTTTGGCTGCAGCATTTTTTTTTAGACAAACTGTATAAGAAGACAAGTTGGTCTGCTCATTTGTCACACAGTTTAATCATAATTCTCTTCAATCTTGGAATTCAATTCTCTTCAATTTTAATCATGCATACTTCATGCCATCTTTTGTAATAGCTACATGTAGATAGGAAAATATAGGGATTGGTTTCCACCTTTTTTCCTTTCTCTTTGCCTCTTGTTCATTTTCTTTTGGTAATTGTAAGGTTATAGAAGTTCAGTACAACCACTTGAGAAAATGCTTAAATCTTACACCACACTCACTCAAATTTCTTTAAGTCTAGGAGCATTAAAGTTATTGGTACAAGACGATTTTGATTTCTGAATGCTGCCATTCATTCAGCAACAGGAGAGACTTATTGAAATAGTTTTGACAAATATTCATGACCTATTCATTTGTGATTCAGTTTACCAATGCATATAAATTCTTCTTAGACAAAATTGAATATTGTTAGACATGTTAGAGTTGCTGAATTTGTTTGGAAAGTGTTTAGAAAAGCTTCCGCCTCTTATATGGAGTGCTTTATCTTGTTGTGCAAATCACCAAAGCAGTATTAAGCCTAGTAAAAAAAGTAGTTTCTCATCCAGCCTTTTGAAAAAAATGAAAGAGGCCGATGCCTCCCCCCCCCCACCCCTTTATTACCCAAAATGGCAGATTTTCCAAGCTGGTAGATGGATTTTTAAATTGTCTTGACCATTTTAATACAAAATTGTGTCCAAAGGGGCCATAGGCCCTAACCCTTTCTAGTTCTACTTGTACATGTAGCTACAATGTTGTTGGAAACAAATAAAAAGACAAAATAGTGACAATGTGCAAAATATATTGCAAATGCATGAATTTAAAAAACCTGGGCGGCTGTGAAAAAAGGAAGTGGGCAGAGACGAGAAACTGTTTTTTATTTTATCTGGGCCTTAGCAAATTAAATTGCATGTACTAGTAATGATCACTGTTAGTACACCAGTGTTTGATTTGTGACTCGCACCTGTACACAGTATCAATATTTGTGTCACATGTTGTTTTTGTTCCCTAGAGACCGTGAAGATCCAAGGTGGTCCTCCCTGGCTATTCAGATTAAAATATAGTTTTGTAGTTCCTGACACCATAGAACAAGGAACAGAAAATGACACCATAGCCATAGAGAGACAGGTTGCCATTATACATGTAAATTGTAACTTAGACATGTTGGTATCGGTTTCAGGGCCCAAAAAAACCAAAGATCCAAATAGCTATGCAGAGAAATATGCACATGTTTTTGTAAAACTTAAACATGTGATTTTTACTTCCTTGACAAAAATCTGCATTTTTTTTGAGTGATAGTTTGATTGTGCAATATCACTTAAAACTACTTTTTTTTCTATTTTGGTTGTTTTGTAACACTCTGAAAATATGTTTTATTACGGGTTGCTTTTCGTATTCATTCAAAAGTGAATAACTTTTTCGGGGGTAAAAAAAAAATCACATTTCAAAAAACAAAATGTAATTTTCAGGGTAAAACTTGAAAATAGCACAGGGAAGGGAAAGCAACTTAAGTTTAAAGGGGAGTATACACATACACATTGTATATATTTGCTTTTGCTGTTATTTTCAGAAATGGATGGATTTGGGGATTAGTACCGGTATTTTAACACAAATATTGGTACGCTGACCTGTTTAACGTTTTGTGTTCATAGATTCTGGAAAAAAACCAAGACAAAAATGCTGTTAAGATTGTAGTCTGGTTCCCTGACCCTACTTCAGACGAAACGGAGCAGTTAATAGACTTTGGGGAATTGTTGGGTCAGGGAACCAGACTAGCTGCCAGGCTTGCGCCCATTCACGGATGTGTAACGGATTGAAAACAGAATATGGACTTACTAAATTTGGCAAATTGTGGACAGTACATACATATTTGAAAAAGTCTGTCGACCATCATTGGAAATTGATACAAAAATTCCACTTCCTTGAAACTTGATGGCACACCAGGCATGCCAGGTGCCATGATTTCACAGGATGTTTGAGACTATAAATGACCTATTGCAGTTAACGAGTTAACCACGCCCCTTGGACAACCCTTTGGAATTTTGTACACTAAGATTTGTTTGTCTAAGATTTTATGCGTTCTGTGTCCATATGTATTTCATGTAATTGTACAATATTTCACAACCTGCGTTGACGTGATTCTACCGCGATAGGTCAATTCACTTACAGTCTCAGTAAGGTATTTCATTTTGTTTTTTGATCGTTGGAAAATGTTGTAAATATAAAAAAACTTTAAAAGTTGCAGTTACCTGATTTCTCAGGGGAGGGAGAAACATTTCAGGTCCAAAGGTCGACCGATGGGATGACTAGTGACCTACAAATGATCACACCTCAAACGCATGGGTGGTCCTGGGTTGCTCTTATCAACACTGACTCATATCAGTAACTACGTACATTAGTAGGGTACATTAGTAGGGTACTACCGTGGGCTATGTATCGTTCGTCTGCACTTTGTACATTTTTTTCATATTTTTTTTACGTCATTGAAAGTGAACTAGGTTAATACAAGCCTTCACCTGTAGATCTGCAGTGCTCTAGTTTCTAGTAAAATCAATGAAATATGAAAGAAAGTTCGAAAGATTGATAGAAAGGGACAAAAGTAAAAAGCAACAGAAATTTTGACTCAAGTGGCATTATTATTGTCATCATAGTTTAATGGGTTTTTGGTATTCAAATACAGTGTGTTTTTTTTCTGAGCAGTTTGCTAATTAATAGTTGCTATCATCCAATTTGGGAAGAAGGCAACAGATTTCATAGCTCATAATGATCAATTTAAATTGTGACCACTTCCAAGTTTTGAAAAATGTGTCCAATTGCTTTTAAAAAAAGAGTGTAAATTACATGTAGGGCAACTTTTACTTCAGTACATTTTTTTTTCTGAGCAGTTTGCTAAACTTAGTTTCTACGTCTGCCAATTTGGGAAGAAGGCAACAGATTTCATGGCTCATAATGATCAAGGGCAATTCCACACCAAAGTGGACATGACACCAAAAAATTCAAATACATGCGACTTAAACAAATTTGGCATCAAATGAAAGCTAAAAGTCTATATTTTCAAGATTTGAAGTCGGAATTGTATTTTTTATACAATTCGGTACCAAAAAATAGGATTATGTAATAATCCTGTTTTAATCCTAAAAATGTGATTAATAGTGATATGAAAGTATTCTACCAATAGACACACAAAAATATGTACTAATGCCATCAGTTTCTGTCATGAGAAAGTATTGGTCTTGAAAAACCGACTAAAACTTGTTTTTAACATTTTGCGTAATTTGTTTTGCTTCAGTGACTTCTAATATTTCAGCCTTCGAAAATGTCCTTCCGTTACCGAAAAAATACATATTTTTAATTTATTTTTAAAACTTGCAGTATGAATGCAATGAAAGTTACTGTGCAAAGCAAGTTTAGGTAGGCCTTCAATATGACATTATAACTGACACTGTTGTACTTCTTGTTTTTTAATTACAATTAATTAAATCACGTCCTTCCGTTACCAAATTGGTAACGGAAGGACGGTAACGGAAGGACAAATCGTATTTTAACAAATGTTACGACATTTGCGCTCATGTTTGACAAATGAAAATCACTGCAAATACATGCATGTATAATGAACATTGAAAGGACATTCATGTGACCCACCTTCACAAAAGCGGGATAAGCAGGGCAAGGTGTTTATTACAAAGGAAGGCACAGGCATGTACAACATGTACAATGTACATGTACATA